CTAGCGAAGTAATTGAGTGTGCGTGTGCGTATGTGTTTATGTGTATGTGCGTACGCTTGTGTGCTATTAGCTATTTTGACTGCTTTTCTTATGTCTAGTTCTTTAAATTTAGTTTCAATGATGACACTTTTTACACCCAAAAATCTGATTTTTCTTTTCGTTAAATCCATTACTACTACTATTACTACCGCTACTACTACAATTACTACTACTACTACTACTACTATCAGTACTACCAGTACTACTACTTATACTACTAGGTCTACTACTACTACTTCTACTACTGCTACTACTACTACTACTACTACTATTACTACTACTACTACTACTCCTACTACTCCTACTATTACTAGTACTACTACTTCTACTACTACTATTACTAGTACTACTACTACTATTACTACTACTACTACTACAATTACTACTACTGCTACTACTACTACTACCAGTACTACCAGTACTACTACTTATACTACTAGGTCTACTACTACTACTTCTACTACTGCTACTACTCCTCCTACTACTCCTACTATTACTAGTACTACTACTTTTACTAGTACTACTACTACTATTACTACTACTACTACTACTACTACTACTACTACTACTCCTCCTACTACTACTACTACTATTACTAGTACTACTACTACTACTGCTACTACTACTATTACTAGTACTACTACTACTATTACTACTACTACTACTACTACTACTACTACTACTACTACTACTCCTACTACTACTACTACTACTACTACTACTATAATTATAACACATATATCTCAATATAGTCGTTCTAAAAAAACAGGTACTCAAAAAAGTTTATAAACTCTTTTGTACTGGTCAACTCATATTTGCCCGTGCGTTTCATATTTTTGTGCTATTTTTTTGCCCTTTTGTAGGGGTATGCATGCTTGTATGCTACAATGGTTGATTATTAAGTTTGTTATTACTAGACTTTTTTCTAGCCTTTTGCATTTTTAAATTAAAATTTTCCGAAGATTAACAACATTGTGTTTACCACAAAAATAATGTATCTAGGTATATATTACATTATTTAATTATTTTCAGGTCCTTCTCCAACATTTCTGACTAATTTCAATCGCATCTTCATTTCAACAATTGCACTATGTATATATGTGCAATTGAATTATATTGGTGGATTAATTTTATATGCCATTCCGCACGTTTTGTGCCAGGAATTCACAGTTTCATAATAATAACATAGTTGGTCGGTTTGTTAGTTCTGTTGTACTCGAGAGGGGAAAGAAAACACAGGGAATTGTCGACAGTTATAAGAAGTTTGTCGAGGTCGATACTACGTTATTTCAGGAGACAATATCCCCGGCAATAGTCAGATTGCCTTTCTTCGAGTTTGTTGTCGTAATGGTTTTAAATTGGTGGTTGGTGTGTAAGCAAGGACAAAGATGATTCCCCGAGTCCTCATTCCCTACCGGAAACCTTCGGATGACGATTTGAAATTGTCGGTTGGTAGTTGTACGTGATAGTGTCGCCTTGCGTAGGAGTACGTGTGATTACCGGGGGACCTCTCTCACTCTAATAACACGTTATTACCCCAGACACCCCGGTCACCTGGGCCATCTGTTTTTATTGTCACTAAAAGACACAGCAGGTTTAAATACTGTTCTCGGAATTCTCATGGGCAGCCAAAAGGTCGTAAATAGTCCGGCTAATTAGAACTGAAACCAATTAAACAAACCCATTAAACGCGACCAATTAGAAATATATGAATAATTTTAAAATAATAAGGAAAAAAGGTCTCGCGTAGTAAAATTGATAGTGCATGAGGTGTATTAGGAAATAGAGCAAACAATGACTCGGCACTAGCCAAAGAAAGATTAAATATGCCATCGAAAACGCATTATTAATAATAATAATATATTCATCATTTAGTGTTTTGTTTAATTATTAGTACATTCAAAAATTGCTAGTTGTTTTACCTTTTTTAAAAAAAACGCAATAGACCAAATCAACAAATTCTTTCTTCGTTTTTTCGTCCTCTATGGTCGTTTCGGCAATTAACCTTCTTCGGGGGGGATTCATATTGCTTTTAATAAAATAATGTTTTTTTGGTGGCACAGATTTTTACAACTCAAACCTACGGCCTCAAGGAGAGATCATACAATACTGGTCTTGTGTGATTATGGATTTTTTTAACCTTTTGTAAATTTAATTTTTAACTTTAAATAACATATAAAACATTTTGTAAGAAATCAAAAACAAAATACCACATATAGCAAACTGGTACAAAGTATTTACTTCATTTAAAAAAATCGATTTTTTAAGGACTTTTATCGTAATTGGATAAAAAACCAATAATGAAAATTGGCGAAAGCTTGGTCGTTCAATCTAGAAAATACCAAATATAATTTATACCCCGGCAAGGGCCATAATCGTTATGATTTATTTCATGGTACCTCGTTTTGACGTTACAGATAAATAAAATATTTTAGAAAAAGAGTACCCTCGATTTCTCGTTTTGTTCCTATTTTTGTTTCTTGTTAAAATCTATTGTCCGAAAAAAATTCGCACAGTTAATTAAAACTATTTTTCTACATTAGTAACACCTATTATAATGAATATGATTTTTTTTGGGGGGGGGGATGTTATAGCATTTTTGAGTAATAATGTCGAACTGAAGTTTTCTTTCGTTTTAAATATTCTATAGTAGAATGAACGTGAGAAAATGAAAAAGTTTTAAAAAGTATGGATAATGGAATCGTAGTTTATTTATGTATATAATTAATTTATAAATTTATTTTAAAATTAAACATTTTCGAACGTAAGTTGCCCAGAAAACCGCGCTCTGAGGGGTAGGCTTTGGCAACATCAATTAAAATTTAAATTTTCTTCATATCTATTGATATTTTTATTTATTTATTGCACCAAATAAGTGCACCTAATATCCAATAATTATTACATTTTACATTACAACGTGTATATCCAAATATTATAGAAAAATTAAAACTTTTATTCCTCACACTCGGACCAACAAAACAATACAAATTTTCAACTTGTCGATTTTAAACTTTAAGCCTTGGTAGAAATTCAATTGCTGTAGTAACATTTCTTATTGTCCTCATTTTTCATAAAATTCAATGTAAATGTCCTAGTAAATAGGTTTTTCGTACTTATTACGATCATGATATCACCAATCCATCTAATTTTTAACACAGATTTTAACCACTTGTCGATTATCGAAAAACCGCCATATGTAAGATAACAGAATTAATTAACTCGTGATCAACGAAACAAATTCTAAAACAAGTAGGTAAAAACATATCTCTTTGTCGCTTCTAGGCACATATCCAGTAGGACATAGATAAATACTCTCATTCCTTTTCAATATCTGAGTTATTCGAGATTACAAATAAACCAGTGGAACTTTTCGAGATGTCTAAAAAGGCACAATTAAATGTTTCCCTTTCACACTTAATGATTTATACACTGTTTGTCGGGCCTGAAGACTACATATGCACTTATTGGCCAAAAATCGATTCATCCTGTTTTCCCGAATATTGCATCATAATCTTTAGTTCAATGAAATAACTTTCATGCCAAACCCTCAGTTGGTTGACACAAAAATGACATATGTAATTTTTTTATTACCTACACTGGTCTTAAACAAGCCACAATAATATTATTATAATAAAATTGACAAAATATAGAAACTAAGAAAAAAACTAAAATTAGATTAATTACTAGCAATTAACTAAACTTATAGTCAATTTAGTTCAAGTTTTCAGTATTAGAAATATCGACCACTTATCTAAGCACACCACTGCTAAGCTTTCGACCTATTGTAAGGTCCTCATCAGGGCAAAACAATCTTAAATGTATCTAAAGATTGACGTATTTAAGTTTTTTTTTAAATTTCCTTGAAGGCCGACTCAGTCCCAACATTGTCAAAGACTGTAACAGGTTGTCGTACTGTTGCAGTCCTTGGCAATGTTGAGACTGAGTCGGTCTTCAAGGAAATTTGAGGTTATCGGTAAAAAATTTAAATATGTCAATCTGTAGACACATTTAAGATTGTCCTGATGATGACCTTAAAATCGGTCGAAAGCTTAGCTGTAACAAATGAATTTGCTTTCTTCTTCAAGACCTTCTTCATCCAGTGTTCGTGAATTTAGTTCAACATCAACCCTTGGCTTTAAAAATTATGTCGTACAAAGTGCGTTTAATTGCTGTGTTATACTTTCTATTTTCTGAGGATTTCTTTATTTCTACATTTTTAATTTATTTCCGATTTTTTAACAATATTACAAGTACCAATTTATTGGTTCAACTCTTATACGACGAAAAAATAAATAGAAGAAGAAATCTCATCAGTTTTATTAAAGGTTGAGAGAGATATTTGAAAATAAAGTCGTATTAACTATGAGGTTTTTTTTTTTTAGAGTGATCCAGGAATGTTTTGTCAAATGGGCTCACCACGCACCCCTTTTCCAAACTATGTTTTAATAGCGGTGATGAAGTGAGTCGGGCGTGGTTTGGGTCATCGCCACGACCTCCCGGCGGCAACCAATTTAAATATCCCACCGATATGTTTAATGGGCGAATTTCTCAAGCCGGGTTTAACCTTTCTAATGGTGGAAGGCAAGTCACGACGCTGCCGCTACTAGAAGGCACCAAATTGGTGTAATCCTCTGTCGACCCGCCCACCATATCGGCTCCAAGACTAAACTTGTTATTTAGCATCTCCCACTCTTGCCCCTTCGGTAGCAGCGACCATGCTTCCACCAAAACCTCTCCACAGAGAAAATTAGATACGTGTCATGCGGTAGTGAAGTTAAAGTAGGACCTGCCGCCGAACACTGAAAACTGGACACGTTTGGGTTTCTGGACAAAGAACGTCAATTTTCTAAATTCCTAATCTCCAGGCTATCCCACAGGAACGACTCGGCCTGCCGTTTTACCGGATAGGGGTTTAAAATAAAACCAATTATAAGACGGAGGTCGTAGACTTTCAAACTTACCGTGCAGACTGTTGGCGCAAGTAGATTATCCTGGGATGGAGCCGTTCGGGCTTCCGGTCTCATAAACCAGGAAGCAACAGAAGCCCACTGAAACATACAAAACAGGATAAATAGAGATGGTGAAGAATAAATTCAATATCAAACAGAAGGTACTTTAAACACATCAAAATCAATCGGAAGAGAAATTCAGTCGACACAATAACCGTACTCACAATCTAAGTGGTACTAGCAAAAATATAGAAAGTAATCCTAATAAACATCCTCCGTATTCAAACTGTTCAAACAAAATTTCTTGAAAAAATATGTTGATCTAGATATTTCTGAATAACTGGCATTGACAGCGAGAGTGAGTGAAAAATTCAAAACTCAAAATAATCTTGTTACTACTAGTGACCACGTACAAAGTACTCCCAGAAGCGTTTCTCAACTGTTTGAAACCAGTGCTTATTGTTATGTTACATGTTACCTCAAAAGATGTAATATGTATTGTTTACACAGACAAAAATTGAGAAATATTTATTAGTGATGTATGTATTAGTGTTTATAATTTAATGAACAATGTTTACTATCAAAATGTTAAAAAATTGATATGAGTTTGTGAAATAGCACAAGGAGAAAAACGGTTAGATCAGCGTGAGTAGACGGTAAAGTAATCAAGTGTGGATCAGTCCAGCGCAGAAATCTTCACTTATTCCAAAAATACAGTCCCAAAGCAATAAAAAGTATTGTTTATTGCACTTTTTTCCTGTTCACCTCTGGGGTCCTATTCTAGATTTTTGGTTTATTTTCAGCGGGACGAGTTTAGCCTTGCTGATAAAAGCGAAAATAGATTGGTGTCTTAAATTTGTTTTTTGACGTGAGTCCGTTTGACGAGAAGCCGTCACTTGCCGGGCCTTGAGCAAACAACGATATCGGACGGATCAAGAAATAACAAATTAATCTGTCAAAATATATAAGAAATAACGTTAAAAGCTAAATAATGTAATTTATCCAATATTTCAATATTAAAATAAAATAACATAATAAATTAACATAAAAATTAACATAAAAATTAAGTCGTAGGGCAATTTGACTGGTAAAATATTGTTATTATTATAAGTTGAACAGTTCACTCAATTTGTAAAACAACAAGGATGCCCGTTTTTACATTCATAAATTAACTTTGGTACATGATAAAATGTGCTTTAGATTGGATAAACGAACTGTAAACTTGGGTAAACTTCATTCAGTACGAAGAAGGTTCTCACAGATATTTAGAAATATTTCTCTTCCAAAGATAATTCATACATGAAAAAGATTGAGGAAATTCAAGAATAGGCAGTTGTTATTATTGTAGATGAATGGAATGAGAGCGTTTCCGAGACAGTGCGAGGGAGCTGCAGGGCAGTAAAAGGATAAGGAGTAGTGGGCCATAAAAGTCGAAGAAGGGATGGAAGACATTTATGCCGGCTGGAGTCCTTTGGACATTGGAACCTGTTAAAGAGGCCGTAAACGTTTTTAGAGTTCAAAGGTGGTGATAAAATGACCGGGGAGAAGGCTTGAGATAAGGCAGGAGTGGCTAGGTGCTAGTGTTTGTTCCGTTGGATATATACAAACAACGACCAGGAATAGGTACAGAGCACACCGAGTGATGGCTGTTTACATGGTCAAGACGTCACCGCCATTCCGTGTTTTACAGAGGCCCCTCAAGTGTTTTCAAAATAAACCCGGGGCGAGATATCAGCCGTCTGCCTTCTGTAACCCCGAAGCCCCGTCAAGTGCCCTCTCGAGTGTGGATCATGAATGGATTCTTTTCCACGGAAAGGAATAAAAGTATCTTGACTAAGAACCACCGTCGTTATCGGACAGACCTATTCATCCAACCATCAATTAACTTTGATTTGAATCTCTAATTTTCAGAGTCCCAACATTGGGGAAAAGAAACATGAATCATGTTTCGTCCTTAAAATCCGCAATTTGCCTAACCTTTTGCAACCCCACCAAGTCTGATTGGTTATCCCTTGATCCGCACAACTTAGATTTAGTTGCCCTTCTTTTTATTGAAAATTAACGCTCAATAAGTCAATACATGTTATTATTTTATAATAAAGGTAGTCTTTGAAAATAATAATGCTCTCATAATTGTAATCGCTGAGCTGCACCAATAAATAATTCTGTTTGATTCAGACATTTTAACCATTATATAAAAGATTTTTATTTTAATATTTAATTTTTTCCTAAATTTTAGTTTTAATTTTGATTAATTACCATTTGCTTTTTCATATTAGAGCCAAATCATCTTATATTTTCAATGAATTATCAAATTAAAAGAAGAATGCTTTATTTCTATGTGGTATTTTAAATAAGATACAATTTAATTTATATTTAATTTAATATAATTTTTCATTTTGGTAGTTATTAAATTTAAAAAAAATATGGTTCTTAAAAGCCCAATTGTTTCATATTTAAAAAAAGAATAATTTGTTTTTATATTTAATTTTATATATATTATAGAATTTAAGAACCCAAAATTTTTTTCAAATAAAGGAATTTTACTTAAACGTTCTTACATTTCCTTGCACCTAGGTTTTTATACTTAAAGAAAGTGTTCATTTTGATTTAAAAAGGGTTAATTTATATTTGAAAAATGTTAATATGAAATTAAAAAGATTAGTTTGCAAGTTAAAAACGGTTAATTGAAAATTGAAACTATTAACATTAACTTGAATTTAAAATTGGCTAATTTTAAGTTAAATACGGTTAAAACAATAGGTAAATTCAAATAAATGAGGGTAAATTTCAAATTAAAAATTATTAATTTGTCGGAAAATGCCATATGCGTTCTCCGAAGAGCTCGCGTTGTACTTTCATGCAACTTAATACTCAGGACTTTTTATGCATAGAAAAACATTTCTCGATACAATCAGTTTCCTCGTTTGTTTTGTACTGCGAAAATTTTTCCAGCGCAAGGATGTAAAAAAAAACTTTAAAATATTTTTTTATACTTTTAACAATTTAATTTGAAGAAATACATATGTATTTTTCTTAAATGTGTCATCAATTCTATTCAGAACAAACATCGAACTGAAAAATAAAGGCCATCATTGACAATTTGATTCAGCAGGGATTTTTTTCATTCACGGCTCGCTTAATATTGCGTTTGGCAAAGCCTTGTGTAATATTTTATCAATAGATCGATTGGAATTTTTTTAAAGCCAAGGGCATGAAGTTTAGATTTTTTTGACGGTGCATTTTCATCAATTTTTGCTCGTTTTAAACTCAGAAGAAAATAAATAAAATTTCTTCAATTCTCACTGTAATCAAGACTGATCGTTAACACATGTTGGATATGCAAATATGTTCGCAAAAATAAATATCTACAGTTCAAATTTTGTCATAGTATTACAATTTTCTTGTTTATTTTTTCTCAGTGAATTATGTAATTAAACAATTTTGCCAGCAATCAACCAAATGGTGATAACGTTTAACACGGAGTGTCATAAAGAGATTTAGCTACATATTACATAAATTGAACATTTAATATAGTGCATTTCGAGGCGCTATCAGGTGTAAAAAGTGTTTTCCCTTTAAAAAAAAAATCGAGATCCTATTATTAAATTTCTTATGGAATCCCTTTATACCTATATCTGAAGAGGCTCCTTTTTTCCATCGGCAGTTTTTACGTTGGTTAAAGGCTATGCCCCTGACAGATGTATGGTTGATGAGAATTGACGGGAACTGTATTGGGGGAGGGATGAAAATTGCCATGAGCACCTTTGCCATATGCCCACACTTCCTTTCAAAGGTGACTTGAAGAACTGTGCCACGAACCATGAGCCCTGTGTAAAATAAATATTCACATTTTTAACGTACAAAACCGTCAAATAAGTTTTCCGTTTAAGTAAAAAGAAGGTTTTCTTTTCAGTAATTTTAGCCCAAAGTCAAGGCAGACCACGTAATTTTTTTTTAATTCTCCCAACCACATGAGGGTAAGTATTGATTCCGAAGATTTGTAGGGTCAGGAACCTGGCCTGATGCCCCATAAGGGAGCGGGGATCGATTCACAACTCCCCTGAAGCGTTGTAAACGTTTTGTTTGATGATGTCTCTAACGACTACCGAAAGGAGCAGACAACAATGCGACGACGCCCCAATATTTGTTTTTCGCCCGCTTTGACATATTTGTACAGTTATGCCTTGTCGGTGAATCAAACAGTTTTAATTGTATCGGGCGATAACATAAAACGTGAGTTTGATTACAGACATAATTCGTTTAAAGGGCGACTGTTTAAAATGTTTTCGTGTCAGTTAAACTTAAATCAATATACCGCTTTTTGTTTATTATAAAAATATAAATTTACATCTGCTCCTTTATAACTTTTTTTTAAAAATAAAAATGCCTAGTAATTAGCAGACCAAAAGAAAAAGTAAAACAAAAATCTCTGAATTTCGTATAAATAAATATTTGCTTTTCTAATAATTTATAACATGATATTTCCAAATCAAGTTCAAGACGATATCATACTTTATCAATTTTTTAAGTTGTCAATTTAAAAATAAAACAATTTAAGTCATAACTAAACAAAATATTGCTTTGGTAATGGATAGAGCGGATTTTTCCTTGTGTCTTGCCTCCTATGGAAGCAGATAGTATTTATCGTATGTTTTATCGTATGTACATTAAGCTTTACAAAGTTCGATATTGAAAAAATTAAACAATAAATGTAAAGACAATGTTCCTATATCAAATATTAAATATAAATAATAATCTGCAGAATGAATAATCAAAATTAAATTATATTATGTACATATATACAGGTGTATATTAGTGTGTCTATATGTGAATAGGTATTTTTATGTACATGCACGTTTGTACATATGTAGGTATAATTTGTATATATATGTGAATATGTGTA